CGGGCCAGGTGCTGTGATTGCTGCTCTGCTCCCCGAAAGGATTAATGCCATCCGCGCTTAAACCAAACCATACGTTCCTTGGGTCACCTGCAAACTCAGCCCAGTACTTTCTCTCAATTTTTCTCCACTGCGACCCGTCAGCGGGTGCTCTCGACTTCCCGTCTTTCTTACGGTCCTCTCTGTGCCATCACATCAACTTGGCATGCTCTACGTTTCTGAACAGACGTTTCAACCGTGGTATTATAGGAGCATACCACATCACCTTCGCAGGAACCCTCTTCCTGGGGGACTCGCTGTCAACATCACCAGGGTCATCTCGTCTGATTTTATACCGCAATGCACCACATACCGGGCATCCAAATCCTCGTACGCATCACGGTAGAGGATGCAGTCATTAGGGCATGCATGTATCTTCTGCACCTCCAATCCTAGAGGGCATACGACCTTCTTTGCCGCGTACATACTGTCGGGCAATTCGTTATCGTTTGGAAGCTTCTTCTTCAATATTTTCAGTAGCTTCTCAAATCCTTTGTCAGATACAGCATTCTCTGCCTTCCACTGCAGCAATTCCAGTACGGTACCGAGCTTTGTGTTGCCATCTTCGCAATTGGGGTACAACCCTTTTTGTGATCCTCTAACATGCGATCGAACTTCAGCTTCTCCTTTTGACTTTTGCACTGTCTCCTTGCATCAACAATGACCTGATGGAGATCATCATCATCGGGCACATCATCTGGTTCCTCTTGATCTTCAGCAGCTTCCCTAGTTGCAGCATCACCGTATTCAGGGGGCACATAGTTGTCATCGTCCTCTTCTTCTTCGTTGTCTTCCATCATAACCCCTATTTCTCCGTGCTTCGTCCAAATATTATAGTGTGGCATGAAACCCTTATAAAGCAGGTGGGTGTGAAGGATTTTCCAGTCAGAGTAAGACTTCGTATTCCCACAATTAGGGCACAGACAACATATAAAACCATTCTGCTTGTTTGCCTCAGCCACTTCGAGAAAATTATGAAGGCCCTTAATGTACTCGAAGGTGTGTCTGTCACCGTACAACCATTGCCGGTTCATCTGCGTGCATTATATATAATTATGTCTGTCAAAAACCATTACAGATTCACATGGATAGATAAGTGACCAAATTAATAGAAGTTCATCATCACATTAAAACCAAAGTACATACATAGTTCTCATTGAACAACATATAGCTCTCCAGAGCATCTAGTTAAACCATACATTAAAACTATGTAAAACCTTTCAATGCAACAACAAATGCGATCATAATCACAACCAAGGTAACAATTGTTCCAACGACATAATGATACCAAGCCTCGGTATAAAGGGCATATTTTGTAATCTTTCTAATCTTCAACTGCATTGCATCCATCTTGATCTTATGATCATCGACGACATCCGCAACATGCAACTCCAATATCATCTTCTCCTCCTCAAATTTTTTTATTTTTCCTTCAAATAATTGTTTTCTTCTTCAACTAAATTTAACCTCTCGACAATAGGGTCGGCTGGAATTTCCGGTTCAACTACCTCCTAGATAAATAAAATCTATGTCAACTTGATAGGCATAATTTTCATAAACAATAAATGAACCAAATAGTTATAAAAGATAATATATATATATATATATATATATACCACATCCGAATCATAGTCAGGACGAGGGCCGACGGGGGCGGATACCAAAACCATCGCACTATATAATAACAAGCAATAATAAAAGTAAGAAAATTAGACCAATATCTATCTAAAGTACTCTCTCCTTCCATCTATATAGGGCCTAATGAATTTTTCGAGACTAGCTTTGACCAAATGTTAGAGCAATAATATATGACATGCAACTTAAACAAAGCACACCGTCAAATTCGTATGTGAAAGGAGCTTTCAATGATATAATTTTTACATTATGCATGTCATGTACTATTAATCTTGTCAATAGTCAAGAGCGGTCTTGAAAAACGCATTAGGCCCTGTATAGATGGAAGGAGGGAGTACGAATATTTTTCTTGAAGAAGATAAGAAGAAGAGGCTCACCACGGTGGTGCCGGCGACGAGATCAGCGCGGGCGATCGACGGCGGTGAAGACGGGGACGGCCGATCGGCGGGGACATGACGGACCGCTAAACCTAGACAAATCTCGGGTAAAATGGAGCTTGGAGGTCGAGCTTCGAGAGGAGAAAGCTTAACTAGTGTGGCTCGGGCATTTCATCGAACACCTCATGTGCATAGGAGGTGAGCTAGAGCACCACAAAGCTCTCCCTCGCCGGCTAGAAAAAACAAAGCAATGTGGAGTGCTCTGCTCGCTGGCGAGGGGTATATATAGCCACCTCATTGGTCCCGGTTCGTGGCTGGAACCGGGACTAAAGGCCCCCCTTCTGTCCCAGTTCTAGGCACGAACCGGGACCAATGGCTGTGGGCCAGGAGCGAGGCCCATTGGTCCTGATTCGTGCCTAGAACCGGGACAAATGGGTCCACATGAATCGGGACAAATGCCTCCCGAGGCCCGGCCGGGCCCCTGGGCACACGAACCGGGACGTATGCCCCTCATGGGTCCCGGTTCTTGACTGAACCGGGACTAATGGGCTGGCCAGGCTCCAACCAAAGCCCTGTTTTCTACTAGTGCCCGTCCAATTAGCACTTGCTCCAAAACGATGCCCTCGGGAGGGACAACGACGTCAAAGGTACCATCATTGTCCGATCTGGTAGATCTAGAACTAGGGTTTCCCCCGGAGTATCACGAGTGGGGTGCCACGACCTGCAAAAACGATGCCTCGAGAAGGGAACGATGTCATAGACGCCGCCATCGTCCGTCATGACCAAAGTCGGCGCGATTGTCATTGGAAGTCGCGTCCCCCCAACCTCGGAGCTGGCTAGAACCGAACGGCGCCTCGTCGTGGCAATGAGGGTCGCCGTCGGCACGCCGGCAGGGAGCCCCTAGCCGCCCCTCACTGATCCTCCTCGCGCCACTGGCCAGCCAAGGATGTACCGAGATGGATCTGGACAGGACGCCAGATCCGCATCCATCGGAGCCACCCATGCGCCCTCGGCCGCCACACCGCTGGCCATGTAGGATCCCATCGCCGCCGCGCAGCAGGGGGCGCTCTGACTGTCGCCCCGGCCTTCCCACGTGAGACGCCGCCTCCACCTCACCAGATCTGCCGCGGCGCCCGCCCGCCCTGGATCTAAGGTGCAGGGCCCGCCGCCACTGCCCTTGCCGGCGGCAGCGGCGGCTGGGGATGGAGAAGCGAGGAGGTGCTGGCGGCTCGGGATCGGGGGCCCCTGGCGCCGCTCGAGGGGAGGCGACGCGAGGGGGAGGGGAGGTTGCACGAAGCGAGAGCAACGACGGTAGATATACGCTATGATCCAGATGCAGAGGCCGGGGGTCTTCCTCCTTTTCAAAAAAAAAAAGATATAGCTATGATCACTACTTTTGTATTTGTGTATATAATCCTTGATAGACCTACAGCAATTCTTTTAAATATGTGGTCAAATCATCTCAAAATTGCCCAGCTATAGCCAACTTTGAAATGTGTCTACATTTAAAGTAGGTATAGTCGGACAGAAACATTATGTAAGTTGGCCAGATATATTTATTTTTCTCAAGAAACGAGCAGGAGCATTGTATTTTTATTTAGTTGAGAAATGAGCAGGAGCATTGTGTTTTTATTTAGAAGAGAGGAACGTGATTTACACATGCCAGTGGATTTCTGGATCTGCTTGTCCTTACCAAAAGAAAGCTTCTTCTTGTGGGGGGTGTTAAACTGGCATGTGGATTTCTTCCCTGAAAAATCGACTACAAAATGATCCAAGGCAAATATCGTGTGTATAGGTAAGTCTGCTCCCAGCAAAGACACGGTGATTCCACTAGATGTTCCACATAAGATAGATTAGGTGGCCAACTACGTACACCGGGTGTCAGGGTGTGCATTTTTGAGTGCATAGCCAGGGTATCCTCTCACTATAAGTTGTTACTCTGGGTCGTCGTGGCAGGCTGGTTACATGTACAGTCGTCTATGATGATAAATAAATCAGCGGAAACCAATACAGGCGATTGATATTCTTAACTCATCGCAACCGAGTCAATATAAAGAAGAGTTGTGTGACAGTCTACCAGGCATCAGCAGTGATTGCTGTTGAAGAACCCCGTCCGTGTGATGTCATGAGATGATTGGTGCAGATATGGTCATTGTTGTAGTTTGTCGGTCGCGTGTCTGTTACTTTGGATTTTTTTTATCGCCTATGTTTAGCTTTGGTCTTACATGACTTTGCTATTTGTGGGCGTGTTTTGTGTGTGTGAGTTAGTGTTGGCTGTGTGCATCCTAACTATGCAAAGGCCGGGTGTGTACTCATTATGTTTGTATTCTCTTGATGCTTCATTTTGAGTCAATAAAATTTACCCTTTATCGAAAAAAACAATTAGTACCTTTTATTAAGGAATGGCGTGAGAATAATTGGCTACTGCCATCAAGAGCTCACATGTCGTGCACACGTATAACTCCGAACAAAGTCAAACATCTGGTTCGTGGGTTAGGTAATGACTGATTCAATTCAACTAGTTAGGTAATTTTCTCTTGGTTCCGTATGCAGAACCCTGTTCCATTTCTTTCGCCACAAGTTGCTTCAGAGAAGGCCCAACAACCATAACCATCTTGAAGGTAATTTCTGGATCTCTGTCTCTGATCTCTCAACCCAAGCTTTGTTATGGTTCAAATTTTGATGGGCCGGTTTTGATTCATACATAGCTCTGTCTCCTAATGTTATTCAAATTTTGATTGGCCGGTTTTGATTCATCCATAGCTCTGTCTCCTAATGTTATCTAGCTTCCCTATTTTGTTGTTTCTCATGTGTATACCACATCTTTTTGTGAGTAATAAGTGCTAGCCTTTTCCATGGACAAAATGGACAAATCTTTGGTTAAAGCTAATAATGGCGGTAGGCTGGTGATGATACTTGGTTTCTCTTTGTTACAGCAAAGGATCCGAAGGAATGGCCATGATCCTGAATGCCTTAGCATCCAACGTGCTAAACATGTTAATGGAGGTAGGAAAAGAAGAGGTGAGCTTGCTTCTCGGAGTCTCCGGTGAGATCAATAGGATGCGCGTTCGGCTCCAGGACCTCAGGAACTTCTTGACCGATGCTGACAGAAGGCGCATCACCGACAATAGTGTCCAGGGATGGGTGACAGAGCTCAAGGGTGTCATGTATGAAGCAACCGACATCCTTGATCTCTGCCAGCTCAAGGCCATGGAGCAAAGTCCATTAGCATCACAAAAGGGGTGCTTCAACCAATTATTCTCCTGCCTGCGCAGTCCCCTCTTCACCCATGATATCAGCAGCCGCATCAAGGTGCTTAACCAGAGACTAGACAACATTAAGGAGCGGAGTGCTGCCTTTAGCTTCATCAACCTCGGCTCCTACGATGACCATGGTGGCAAAGTACATGCCTCACATGTTGCCTTTCCCAGCCGCGAGACGTCAGGGGAGCTTGACCGGTCGGGTGTCGTCGGGGAGAAGATCGAACAGGACACGAGAAAGCTGGTGGAGATCATGTTGACTGGAATCAAGGGGGGAACGAGCCATGGAGACGGCAAAGTCATGGTTTTCGCTATTGTGGGTGTTGGCGGGATCGGCAAGACCACTCTCGCCCGGAAGGTCTTCAACGACGAGGCTATCCAAAGTGAGTTCGACAAGACAATATGTGTCAGCATCAATCAAGACCTCAACGAAGCTGAGCTGCTGAAGAGAGCCATCATTGAAGCAGGGGGAGACCATTCACATGCTGGAAATGCAAAGGCCACGCTTCAACGAGTCCTCAAGGATACCTTGACAGGGAAGAAGATCTTGCTAGTGATGGATGATGTTTGGAATAATATAGCATGGGAGGATGTGCTCAAAACACCGCTTGTTAATGGGGCCACTCCAGGTAGCCGAGTCCTGGTCACCACTAGAGATGAAAGAGTCGCCCGAGGGATGAAAGCTATACCTCCCTACCACCACATCGACAAATTAGATGCCGATGATGCTTGGTCCTTGCTCAAGAAACAGGTCCATACTAATTAACTAGTAACCCTTCTTTTAGAAGATCTTTTTTGTCTCTTGCCTTTGCACTCTTAACCTTAATAATATCTCCATCCCAAAAAAGTCATTGATTTAGTACAACCTTATACTAATTTTGTACTAAATCAGCGACACTTATTTTTGGATAGAGGGAGTAGTTATTTAATTCACTATTCCATTTAGTGAAATTTAAGGAACCATTGCTTCATTACTTTTGTAAATAAATAAACATAGACTATCGGTCATGGTAACACTCCCTTGGTTTAAGTAATGTAAAGGATTATGGAGGCAGCTTTAATTTGATTTTTCCTCTTGGTGAGCTTAGTAGCTACTCCCTCCGTTCGGAATTACTTGTCTTGAAAATGGATGTATCTAGATCCGGAATTACTTGTCACAGAAATGGATGTATCTAGACGTATTTTAGTTTTAGATACATCCATTTTCAAGACAAGTAATTCCGAACGGAGGGAGTAGTTGACAAAATTATAACTTACTTATATATTGATGATTGAGTCATCTGGGCTTGAATTGGCTGCAGGTAGCCGCAAGTGAGATGGATGAGTCCGATATTGCTGCACTAAAGGATACTGGAATGGAAATTGTATCAAAATGTGATGACTTGCCGCTCGCAGTCAAAGTGATGGGAGGGCTCTTGCGTCAGAAAGATAGAAATCACAGTGACTGGGGTAAGGTCTTGAATGATTCTGCATGGTCGGTTGTTGGAATGCCTGAAGAGCTTAACTATGTTGTATACATAAGCTATGAAGATCTATCTCCTTGCCTGAAGCAATGCTTTTTGCACTACTCCCTTCTCCCTAAAAACATAGTCTTTGGCAGCAATACAATTGTTGGGATGTGGATCGGCGAAGGATTTGTCCATGGAAGCTCATCAGATGACCTAGAAGAACTTGGGAGACAGTACTATAAAGAGTTGATCTTGCGAAACCTCATAGAGCCGTACAACAAGACTATCAATCAATATCATTGCATCATGCACGATGTTGTTCGCTCATTTGGTCAATGCATGTCACAAGATGAAGCATTAGTAGCTCATATTCGCGAGACTTCCACAATTAGTAAACTTGGTTCCCAAAAGTTTATTCGCTTATCTATAGAAACCGGAGGATCTGAATCAGATAAACTGAAGTGGAGCATGTTACAAGAACAGAAACATGTAAGGACACTAATATCAGCTGGCCAATTCGAGGTCAAGCCCAATGAAACATTGAATTATTTTTCAAGTCTACGTAATTTGCACATTCAGTCCGCAAACATTGCTGCATTGGTTGATCATATATATCAACTCAAGCACTTGAGGTATTTGTCTGTACGAGACTCTGACATATTTAGGCTGCCAGATAACATTGGCGAGATGAAATTTTTGCAGCTCCTTGACCTTAGGAGCTGTAGAAAATTGAAGAAGCTTCCTAGTGGCATTGTGAAACTAGGACACCTGAGGTATCTTAACATGAATGAAACTAGTAAAGATGCCACCATACCTCGGGGGTTTGGTGCGCTATCAAATATGAGGATACTTTTCGGGTTTCCAGGCCACGTGGATGACGAGTGGTGTAGTTTGGAAGAGTTGGGCCCTCTTTGTGAGCTAAGGAAGCTTGGTTTGAACAGTTTGGAGAATGTATATGATGCCTCATCTGCTGAAAAGGCAAGGTTGTGTGAGAAAGTGCATCTTACCAAGCTGATCTTACGCTGCAGTAGTAGGACGGGAGACGATGGGTTGGTGGAAGAGGAAGCAGGCGTCTCTGAGGAAGAGCAAAGAAAAATCATAGGGTTGTTTGATGAGTTGTGCCCTCCACATTGCTTAGAACGCCTGGAAATTGGAGGATATTTTGGCCGACGGCTACCAAGGTGGATGACGTCCACATCTGCAACGGCCCTGAAGAGCTTAAATACTCTCTGGATTGATGACCTGACTTGCTGCACCCAACTGCCTGATGGTTTATGTGAGCTCCCATACTTGCAATTCATTCATATCTGCCATGCTCCAGCAATCAAGCATGTTGGTCCTGAATTCATGCAACTCTACCATCATTGTAGTCATCCTCCTTCCAAGACAATGGTTTCATTTCCCAGATTGAACAAGCTGGACTTAAAAGAAATGGTGCAATGGGAGGTATGGGAGTGGGAAGAAGAAGTGAAAGCCATGCCCGTTTTGGAGGAGGTTCAGCTCAAGCATTGCAAACTGAGGTGCCTTCCTCCGGGTCTTTCCTACCATGCAAGGGCTTTGAGAAAACTATCTCTAGAAAGCATCCAACACCTCACTTCACTTGAGAACTTTGCTTCTATCGTCGATCTTGAAGTGTCCCAAAACCCTGACCTGGAGAGGATCACCGATCTCCCCGTATTGCAGAAGCTCACCATCATCATGTGCCCAAAGATGAAGGTACTGGAGGGTGTGCCATTACTCCAAAGCCTCTTTCTAGAGGACTACGGCATGGAAGCACTCCCGGAATACATGCGAGGCGTAAACCCAAGGCAATTGAATCTGGATTGCAGCATAGCAGTGCTCAGATCCATAGCTGCGGGACAACCGGGCCCTGAGTGGGCAAAATTCAGCCATGTCGGGCGTGTCAAGGGGTATGCGCGGGAGGAAGACAACAAAAGAAAATGGTACGTGATGTACACAAGAGAACCCTACAACTTGGAGACAGATATCGACTATTGATCTTCCACGCTCGCGGGTAAAGGGTAGCACATGTGAGTTGTATTGATGTTTTTTATTGCTCTCTTTGTTTAGTTTGTTCTAAGTCTGGATACACTTTGTGTCTTCTCATTTCCTTCAATATGTTGTTTCAGAGCGAAAAGTCGAAGAGGATCATGGCATGCGCACAAGAACAGAGGAAGGGGTATGTTGAGGAGAAAAATGCTAGGAGGGTCGTCCTCCCCACACTTTCAGAAACTTAAACCAGGCACTTTGTCGTAGTTTTCTCATACTTAGTGTTCATCAGCAGGCTGTATCGAACTGGTTTGGTTGCTGAATATGGCTATACGTTCCAGTTTATCTGTAACTGATTACACAGTTGATGCAATCTTTTTGCTATGTTCTTTCACCAAAGTGACATGGAGAAGCAATTTTCTACTGTCTAGAAAGAAAAAAACCCATTGATTATGGGAGGCCTGGAGACAATTTTACTACTCCCTCCGACCCATATTATTTGTCGCTCAAATAGATGTATCTAGCTCTAAAATAGTCGGATACATCCGTTTGAGCAATAAAGAGTATGGATCGGAGGGGGTACTAGTGAACGCCACACCCACACGTGTGATAGCATGCCACGAAGACAACCAAAACTTAAGGTATACACTTAGAAGAAAGAAAAAAAAAGATTCAGGAGATAACATTTTCTTCAGTGGCATTCTGCAAACCAAACATTCACGAGAAAAAAATTGGAACAATTGCATTTCCACTTGCTTCCAGCGACACACCGCCTTGTTTGCATTATCGCTTTCCTTCTACATACACTTATAAAAAATACGGACGTCCACCCGTCATTTTGGTTTCTGGCTGGAAATAGCTCTGGCCGGTAAGTTACACCGGTAAGTTAAATACACATGTATTAAATTATTACATTACATCCATACCAAACGCGGCCTTAAATTATATATAGGGCCAGGCCACACATATCTTTTCAGGTGGAACTCCATCCATTCGTACTAGTTTCTAACAAAGTATATTTTCCATTGGATTTGCAAGTACCAAACTGAAATCATCTGCAAACTCACTCTCTCAATGCTGCAAACAACAGTAGGTAGTTCCCACTTTTAGTCTTTCAAGGCCACAAGAAAAACGGTTGCAGAAGTCACCATATAAAATAAGAAATTCAGAAAATTCACAGTTTTTCAGGCCTCATAGCAGACAGACAGCCAAGAACTCCCTCTGACGAATTTTCTAGAAAACTTTCTATGAACAGAAAAACAACACAGAATGCTACTTCTTCTTCTTATTTTTCTTGTTAGTAGTTGTAACTGATGGACCTGCCACTGGTTCCTGCTTCTTAGTCCTCCCATGATGCTTGGGGACCAGCTCTGCTATTTGGATCATTAGCTGCTTCTCTGCAATGCAAAGACCTGGTGTCAGTAGGACAGACAAAAGCATGTTCAAAGACACGCATATCATGGGAAATATCCTTTCGCGCTATAAATATCTCAAGATTGCCAGACATATCAAAGTAACCCGAGAACATAATGCGTTGAGTAAATACAAGATTGACAGACATGCATATCATGGGAAATATCCATGTTCAAAGTAACTAGGAATTACAACTGCAAGTCGTCTTTATTCCCCCCAAAAGGGAACAAAATGTGTTGAGCAAATTAAAAAGAAAACATAAAAATAACATTAAGCAACATTGTAATTACCCCCTGAATCCTCTAAAAAAATAGCAAAAATACGTCTCCAAATGATATGGGTGGATGGCCTTAGACACTACAAATCAACAGATAAAGGCTCTATTAACAACTAACTTACATGCACACACAATTGTGAGGGGCAACAGGAAAAGCTTAACGGTTGCAGAGAATCTACAAAACTATATAAGGCAACATTATACTAGAGGCAACATCCAGGTGAATACAGTCATGTTTATCCTATTAGACAATTTTGACCGCCTTAAGAGCTACTCCCTCCGTTCACTATTATAAGATGTTTTGGATATTTCAATATGGACTACATACGGATTGAAATGAGTGAACAAACACACTAAAACGCATCTATATACATCCGATTCAGAAAAAAGGTTGGAGCATCTTATAATAGTGAACGGAGGGAGTATATGTGATGGAAGTTCTCGCCAACAGTGAAAAAAAATTGAATTTGGAGGAAAGAAACTAAAGATTCCACTATCATGCATCAGCTCTACTTAACAGCGAATACAATTTTCAGATAAGAAATATCACTAACATGGTGCTGAGCTGCTGGCTAACAGAACTCGATTCAACACAGATGCATAGGCATGGTCCCACATTACATAGAGATGGTAAAATCAAACTAGCTGTATTATACAGCATCAAGGATAACCGAAGATAAGTACATTCTTTTGATGCATTCTTGTCCATACCAAGATGGGCTAAATAAAAGCACAATGCACAAGATTTGACGACACTACCAAGCAAAGCCCAGGAAATACATGATCCACATAGGGTAACAAACTTAAATCCCTGGCGCTTTGATGCCACACAACATCCAAAGTGAGAAGTATTTATGTGCCCTGTAGTTGACAATGGGAGGTGCGCAAGGAGGCCTCAATGGCAGCCAGCCCAATTCCAGGCATCGCTCAGCTGAATAAGGATAAGGATGCTATTATTGTAGGTGTATTTGTTAGGCATATGATAATATTAGTTTATATTGTTAAGAGTCATCCCATCTCTTGATTGCCACGTTTCATTTGCAATTAAGCAGGAATTAATCAAAGAATGTCATTATCATATCAGTCCAGCCATCCTCTCGGTGATATTCATATATTGACAACACGACACAAGCATCATTAGGCCATGGCAAGTGAGAGAATTTCCCTTGTAATCTGAGCTAGGACCATGAGTTACCAGCCATGTTGTCCATACTGTTGCATCTAAGCTACAATCACATAGTACGAAGGACTAGTAAATCGGCTAAAATAACCATACTACAAACTGGAAATGGAACAATCATGACAAACACATGCAGCACCCAAGGGATCTCCTAAAGTATCTATCTACAAAAAAAATTGGACAAAAGAAATCCGTGTCAACAATACTTTATTTCCTGATAGCACAAACAGGGAATACTTCATTGCAAACATAACGGTTTAAGGTCCACGACGACTATAGCAGATCTCCTAATCCTTTGCAAGCATGGTCTTATATCTCCTATCTATGGGTTCCTTTATTCGCTATGCTCCAAAACTCATTTACCAGAAAAGTTTCTGCTTGTGTAAGCAGAAATTCCATTTGCATAAGGAAAACAGTAAAAAAACATTTTACTGTTTTACCGACTAACGTCCAGGGAAGCATATCAAAATAAAGTGGTCCATGTAGTTTATCTCAACCTTGCCCTTTCTTTTTAATCTCCAAACTTACCCTTTTTAGTTAGTCATGCTATGTTGGACAAGGCTTCACGAGAATTCATGTACTCGTCAAAACAAGCCAAGCCGCAGCCTTTGCTTATTTTTTATGTCTGTGCACCATAACTCTACGAGTCCCGAGAGCTGGGTGGAAACATTTTTTTGTGTGAATATTCTCATGGTTGTTTCCAAGTTTGCAGATCCTTGTCACAGACATACTAAAACTAAACAGATTTGGAGAATGTCGAATGCTTAGTATGAAAAACTCTTGAATGTGACTTCACAGCGCAATATGGGATAGTAAGTTTGTTTAACCGTTATTATGTTAAAATGTGTTACCGTCATTTATTTCATTTCAGCATAATTTCTTATTTATTCCTATGCCACCTAGTATGCCATGTAATATGATTACTACTCCCTCCTTCCATCTATATAGGGCCTAATGCATTTTTTAAGACAACCTTTGACTATTGACAAGATTAATAGTACATGACATGCATAATGTGAAAATTATATCATCGAAAGCTTCTTTCACATACGAATTTGACGGTATGCTTTGTGTAAGTTGCATGTCATATTTTATTGCTCTAACATTTGGTCAAAGTTAGCCTCGAAAATTGTATTAGGCCCTATATAGATGGAAGGAGGGAGTAAGTTTATTCACTCATATTTGCAACTTCAGTTCTCCTAGAAAGATAACTCTTGATAATCAATGTTGGTAATACTTATGTGTTGTTATTTGTTGATCCATTAAAATGGAAATATGCGTCAGGATGCTGAGATGGATCAGCCACACACATCTGACTTGGGCAAAATTGTCTAACTAAGAGCAGAAAAAAAAAATCAAGCCAAGCCGAATATATTAAAAGACTAGACATTGAATTCGTTGAATGTTACATTGTTCATTGCATTGTCCTGAACTACTAAATTTACTGAAGATCCACAACTTGATCACACTTCACAGCATCACTACCTGACTATAATAGTCAATAGGGTAAACCTTATCCCGCAAAAAAAAGGGTAAATCATCAAAAACCATGTGTAAGCAATTCAAGATGATAGTATCAATATGAGAAATCAGGTAGGAATATATACTTAATTAAGATGGCCCATAGTTATAGCATACTAGTGTGGACTGTGGAGATTATCTTCTGCTCATTTTAGAAGAGACTTCCTTGCCATTAACTTAGGAGCGACTATATTCCAAAGCACTCATCTCGAAGAAACAAATCTTTGCAACTTATGATGATTAAGATTGTAATCTCGTATCCACAACATTGCATTGGTTAAATGAAGAGAGAGTCCCGTAGAAAATGAACAACAGTTCTTCTACCATGCATCATTGATGTGCATTAAAATGTGGAGAATCAACATCTTAACATACCAGGGGAATACTGATTTCACAAAACCTTGAAAACAGTACAACAAGAGTTGCATGGAGCCAAAATTAAGTTCCTTCCAGGGAATTAACAGTGTGTATTTTAACAATAGCTCGTGATAGTAACATCTTTAGGACTTAAAGAGGACCGACCTTACTTCATAAAAGCGAAGGAAACATTGACATAGCAGAAATCTATTCCTGAAAGCTCTACTAGCTGCACTAACAGGAATTGGGATAGCTTGCAAA